TATTTTGTTGTCTAGAGATGATTATGATATAAAAAAAAATCTTAATTTTAAATTTTAATTGTTTAAAATAGATTTTTTTTATATTTCGATTGTTTAAATAATTAGTTAAGAAATAATTTTGCTGTTTATTAGTTTAACAATTTGTTATAAACAAATATTGACCAACGTTATATTTTTTTTTCTGAAACAGAAAAAAAATATAAAAACAGCTTGATGAGTGGGCAGAATAGTCATTGATGGGATCGGTAGTTTAATGTAGACGGGTGGCGAGACGTGTGTAAGTAGTGTCAAATTTGTGATTATGTTTTTTAATTAGACATCCCGTTTCCATAACAAAAATTGCGAATACTGTTAACAGTTTGTGTTTAACAAAAAGAGGTTCACAGGAATTCTCGCTTTGCACATGTATTTTACTGCACGTTTTTGTAGTACAAAAACAGAGTTTATGAGATTCATCACACAACCCACAGAATGGAATTCTATATATCAAGTGGGATTCTACTAAGGAATAGCGGAAGAAAGTTCATTCGTAAGAGAAGACTGGCCTGAACGAATTCTTCCTTTAGAAGATTTCATTTATAGCCAGTCTTCAAGTATGCCCACTTGCTATAGGTGAAATTTATTCCTTATACGAGGATTTGGGCCATTTGAATATGCTGTTGGTATGATAGTCTGAAAGAATTTGATATTTAATAATGGGAAATCTGTCTTTCTTTACCTACTGTGTAGGTGAAGGCCTGAACGATCTGAGTATAATTTACTAATAACAACACTGATTAACACGGAAGGTTAAGTTAGGTTAGGTCAAAAGAAAGCGGGTCCATTCGAACCTCCACCGCAACCCGCACGGGTTTTTTGTGGCCCACACCTATTGACTCCGACCAAATAAACCCAGCTTCTTAACGAAGCCGATCAGTTTATGTGGTGATTGATCTTTCAGGTCAGATGATGAGTGTGCGGCTCGGCCAAACTCTGAAAACCTTATTCGGTCCGCGGCGATCTGCTGTTTCATCATTTTTCAAGCAGAGGCGACACACACTGTCTTCCGACAATTCGAATCTCGGCATATGACGATTCAGACGACAGTGATCTGTAAGAAGGCCTGTTAGACATGTAATTCATTCCTACTGTACTCCATCAACTGCTATGTCAATTCAATTTAATTTTCTTCAAAGTAATTTTTTTATTTTTGAGACGAAAGTTCTATAATTAATAAAAAGTACCTTGGGATTCCAATACATCTCTGTATCTGTAGAGTAGGGGGGGTGAGTGTAAGCCCACGCACTTAGGCCACATGTGACCCATTGTACATCCTCCCGAGGAGTTGTCCTCCTAGGAGGGAACATCCAGAAATCTATAAAATTGAAAATTATCTGTTCTGACGACTTTGAATTATTCCAAAAAAGGCCTAGAGAATGTCAGTCGATTTAGACCCGAAAATTTTATAGTGGCAACACTGAATAGGGGTACTGGAATCGTCCATTGGCGATTTGATAGAGAAATTCATTTCATTATTTCACAGTTGGCAGTAGTGTGTTAAGTTGAACATTATGAATATGAAAAGGAAGATCATCAGGTTCGACTTCAACGTAGTTATTACAAAATAATGACATATCTGTGATATTATTTGAATTCTAAATAGTTTCATTCTTCGTTGTAGCTGCATCTTGACTTTGAAGTGTCTGTGAAAAGTGCAAATAAACTTGCTAGATAACGTGAAATTTCCTATGATAGTTGGCTAATGTAACATGGCCGCCTGAAGACGATTGCATTTCATGTCTTTTGTTGTGTAAAATTGTATCTTATAAACAGAAATGGAGTTGCGAGTCGGTAACAAATATAGGCTCGGCCGAAAAATAGGTTCGGGATCCTTTGGAGATATTTATTTGGGTAAGTTTTGACATTTTCAATGACGTTTTTTCGTTGTAAACAAAGGCTGATATATTAAAAATTATTCAATAAGCAGCCGTAAATACGTAGTTTCTTTATTTCAGGAACTAATATATCCACCGGAGAAGAAGTAGCCATCAAATTAGAATGTATAAAAACGAGACATCCACAGCTGCACATAGAATCAAAATTTTACAAAATGATGCAGGGCGGAGGTGAGTATTTTTTCATTCATTACTGCACATGTTTTATCTACCTGCTGTTAAATCAGCATGACAAACGTGAGATGCAGAGAAATCTTAAAATGATCCCAGTGCCCAAATTTGTTAAAGGAAACAGGTGTTCTCTTTTAACTGGTCCCCAATATTTATGTATGAAGGTGTGATATGATTATAATAGGTGACTGAATATTTTGAAGCAATGTATACTCTTGAGATTATTCTTCAAATGTACAAAACAAAAATATTAAAGTGCGCACTTTTTCCCCAAATATACTTTGTTGATGATTATTAAAAAAAAACAGCATAACATAATCTGTCCCAATTTTAGTGATGGAATAATAATTCAATGATAATGATTGTCATACTCATTTGAGTTTACCTAGAAAACAGAACCTTGTTCTAGTAAAAGACCACCATTGATTATTTTTCAATTGAAAATTCTGATATCTATATTAGATTTGAATTATTTCAATTCTTGATAATTATAGTGTTAACTATAAAAATGACTAATTTAGCAGAAGTGGGTTAGTATTTTTGTTGAATTGGAATCCCTTGTATTATTTTCAAATCAGTATAGATGTATTGATTATGAAGCTTTTTTTGAATAGCTTTTAGTGTAACTTTCTGTTACACATTGTTGTCAATTGAAACTGTGATACATAAGTATTCAATTTGATAGCTCACCGTAGTTTTTGAAAAATTTTAATTTAGACTTGACACATCTTTTTTCAATAATTGAACAGAACTGGCCGATACTTGATGAAAGTCCATATTAACACTAATTAATACAGTTTACTGTATGATTTTTACTATAAAAAGTTTTACAAAAACCGCGACACGTGTTTCGCTATACAATAGCTTTCTCAAGCGTAAAATAATTTTATTTTTACATTACAATACAATAAAGTGTATTAATTAGTTTTTATATTTTTGTTCGCTTACTTGTAAAGTTGATTCTTCTTTTTTCAGTCTTGCGCTATGGACCTCTATCCATTTGCAACTTCCATTTATTCTATACAAATAACGTTTAATTTCATCCAAATTATTACTTTTTCAGCAAATTTCCTAATTATTTATGAAACTAAATGAAATTTTCACAAGATTTATTCGTTTGTTTTGTTATTAGTGTAACAGAATCTAACTAAAAATTTATATGAATACCCTTTACAAATAAGTAAATAAGAAAGAAAAAGTTATCACGATGAGATTAACAAGGCATAGAGCCTTTACGCGTAACGTCTACTGTAAGGCGACGGGGAACGATACGCGGGGGTAGAGGGGAGGTCAAAGCAATGAACCGCCATCGCCGAGAACGCGGGCAGACGTCGTTGACGGTTGGGTTATTTTTGCGAATTTCTTTATAAAAACATAATTCGATTCTCGAAGCTATTCATTACTTAGTGCAGTTGGCATATTTTCTTAGTTACTGTATTTTTAAAGTAAAAATATAAATTACTAGCTGTTGCCCGCGGCTTTGCCAGTGAAGTTTCGTGACAGACCATTTTAAACAAATAGTTACAATATTTTTTCATTAACTCAAAACTTCAGGTTTCGAACTTCAAAACTGACGAAGTTCGATACACTCTTTGAACCCCTATTTTTCGACCTTGGAGGTGGAAATTCCTGATTCCCTTTCTTGATGCTTATTTACGTTATACAAAGAACCTACCTGCATACTTCAAGATTATAGGTTCAGAAGAACAATTTAATAATAAACTACTCGAAGTCTGTTGCTATTCAATTCCACATATCGACTACGTGAAGAGCCATCAGTGAAAACCTGTATATAAACAGTTCATCAATTACATTTCAAAGTAACTCCAAGTTTTTGGGTACAATCGTTGACGAAAACCTGAAATAGGACAAATGCATTGGGTCACTATGTTCCACCTTGAAAAAGCACTTTTTTGCGTTGAGAAATTTAAAGAGCTGTTTGAATGAAGGTCTCATGAGCCTTTACTCTGCATTGGTATATTCTTCTATTAGTCATAATATTATAGTTTATGGTCCCGCTACTGGCAGCAGCAGAGTCTTCATAGCATAGAAAAGAATCATACAATTGATATTCCACTTGGGTTTTCGAGAATCTTGCAGAGATGTTTTCAAAGAAAAGAGAATATTGACATTCACAGTATCTATTTGTATAAATTATTAATATTTGTCTACATTCATAAAAACTATTTTATTCAAAATGCGGGTGTCCACCACTACCCAACTCGTCAAAGAAACCAATTCAGATTGAAAATTGTTAACTACTCGACTTATAAAAAATCCCCAAAATATGCAGCGGCAAACTTTTTTAACATGCTACATAATGACTTGAAGAATCAGCAAAACCTGTTCAGATTTAAAACAAAATTGAAATGTTATGTGTTATCTAGGCATTTTTTAGTATTTCAGAATTCATTTCAGACTGTCAGTGAACAGTGTACTGTGTACTACCTACTTTCAGTGTTGCTTGATTTGAGAATATTTTTAAAGTGTTTTTATTGTTTTATTATCCAATGTGAATTGGTGTATGATCAATAAATGTCTGTCTATCTATGTATCAATACTAGCTCTTTCCCACTATTTTACCCGCGTTATCGTGGGAACCTACCCTATGTGTTATTCCAGGTCATGATCTATCTATATACTAACTTACATTTGAATCCGTTGAGCTGTTTAGGCGTGAAAAAGTAAATAACGTAAATACATACATTACATTCATCCATCCTCACAAACTTTATGCATTTATATTATAAGTAGGAGTAGGATTAGTAGGATTACCAATGTATTTCATTCTAATACTTTCTATTTTTTTGTTGATGCTATTTATTCTATACTTATACATGCGAGTCACTCACTTAACACTCACTCATTCATCTCTGTTTCTCCGTACTGGTGAGTCCTAGGAAGCTAAAATTTGGTATATGGGTGCTTCTTTGGTCTAAGATGGGCACTAAGAAAGAATTTTCAAATAATCGAACTGGGGAGACCCCCGTGGGGATAAAAGGGGAGCGTTTACATATGAAAATTACCTTTTCATCACTGTTTTTCCGTACCGCTATATTTTTGGAACCTGAAATTATTTATGTAGGTTTGTTTAATGTTGTAGATGTGCAATAAGAAAGGATTTTTAGATATTCGAACTGAGGCGCCAGCCGCGGGTGAAAAAGGCGGGCGCATCCTTAAAACAAAATTCGTCAAATTTCATCACTGTTTTTTCATGCTCTTGAATTTCCGGTGGGTGAATGTATATTTAGTATCAGCATTGCACCCGTGCTGAGCCGGAGCCGGTCGCTAGTATTCTATAAGTGGGTACCTATTGATTGACTGAAACTCTTATATTAACGTACAGCCGAAGCTACCGAACCTAGAATCTTGAAATATGCAGGTAGGTTCTTTGTACAGCGTAAATAAGCATCAAGAAGGGGAATCAGGAATTTCCACCCCAAATCCATTATTTGACAGCTAAGTTTTATTCACAGACGAAGAAGCAAGTTTTTCTAAATACAGAATCAAAAGTTTTTATAATAATCATTTTTGGTTCGAGGAAAATTCTCATGCAATTGCGGAATCTCATCACCAGGAGCAGTTCTCAGTGAATGTCTGGGCTGGAATTATTGGAGGTAATCTAATTTGACCGTTTTTTACCACGCAAAGTGAATATATATACGAGGTATGAGTTTAGTCCCAACACCAAACCATTATTTTTAACACCTCGACACGTGTTTCAATCACAAAGTTATCATCTTCAAGAGGAAGATTCAACTGTATGTTCAAAAAATAAATCAATTTCTGTTTTGTCCCCTTCAATCATCCCATCAGATATAATAATGCAATCTTCGAAGCAGTTGTGATATACGCTTTTCGGTATGTCCTTCAGCTCTCTCAGCGATTCGGTTTTTTTATCTCTTTAATCGTCGCAAAACGCCAACCTTTCATGGGTCTCTTCAA